TGAACAGATGAGATTGGTAGTCACATGGGTAGTCATCGTCCCCCCCTAATTTCTACCCGGATTTCATCTTTTTACAAGGGCAGTCCATCAGCCTATTGGGTGGGGGGAGGGGCTGAGCCCCCCCCCTTGTCTACGCCACTGCGTGAATGGTCAATATTTGATCGTGTGAAATGCTTGATTTTACTGTCATGATCTGTGGTTTGTTCTACAGCCGTGAGGCGTGATTGTCGATCAAAAAATGCTTCGTGAAATGGGAATTAAGGATGTCTGTTTCGTGAACTGTAATTTTGATTTGTTTATTCCGATCTACATGTATTTTATAATAGTGGACATAATACGCGATAATAATTTATATGATCGATCTCACTCGATTGCACAAGAGTAGAAACTTTGGAGGCCTTTCAGAGATCGTCGGACGTACTGATCACTCAAACTTGTAAGTAGTTTTTAACTGCCAGGCAGAAAAGAGAACTTAAAGTGTAGTACTGTACCATGCATTAAACATAATCTTAAAGCTATTATTATTATATTATTTTTATTAGAGTCTCGTTATCCGTGAAGTGTGAAATTGCTTTTTTATGGCACGTGAATTGTGAAACGGTATTTTTTTGTTGTGAAATTAAACGTGAATCATACCCCTCCCCCCTTTCCCACCCTCATTAATCGATGTCGAATTTACAGAAGTGTGGGACTTTCAGTGTTAAGATTGGGGTTTTTAGGGATACCATCAAGGTAATTTGTGGATAATTGAATTATTGAAGTCAAAGTTGTCAGAACTGGTTTGTATTGGTTTGTATTTTGCATGTATACCAAGGCAGAACCGAAACACTCAACAGAAAAAAACTAAGGGAAACTGAATTTTTCTTTCAATATAGAGTATTGCTAATTTAGAATTTTTTTGTGCTCGATATGTCAGCAATATGCAAATTAGGTAAAGGCATTAATTAAGCATGCGAAAGGCTGATTTTTTAGAATAAAATGAATAGTTAAAGGCTTAAACTAAACCAAATTGTCTGAAATTTTGTACAGTAATTAAAAATACAACAAATTTTCCATCTATTAACTCAAAATATGATTACAACTTTTAAATTTTGGCCGCGATCAATTTTAATTGTGTTGGAAAAGACACCCCCCCCCCTGGTTCACAAAATTTGAGTTCGAGAAATTTTTTTCATTATTCTACATTATAAGTACCCAAAGAAACTATATATATAAAAAACCGGATACTAATAGCTGTTTTGCGAAATTGAGAGCAATTTCAAATCTGTTCAGTTTTTTTTTATACACCCTGTATAGTAGTAACCTTTACTTGAGTTTCATTAATTTCAAACAGACTTGATACATTATATGTTCCTCAAGAAAATTATCTTTTGGTTGATGTTGAGATGCAGTTGCATGTAAGCCTATTCGAAACACTTTGCGATTTACAAGGCTTCGCTGA